GATTGGTGATTTTCAATGTTTTAAAATTTTTCTTAGCACTGACACCCGTTTCTCAAAGCAAATCTCTCCCTAACCCTAAAATTAAACAGATGTAAGTAGAAGTGCCCTCGTCAGGTCTCCTCACACTCTCACCCTCCTCCCTTGCCCCTCCCTTGCCCCTCCCACCAACTCCTCATGGTACAGTTGGGGCTGCAAAGCTCCTGAGCAGCCCTGCTTTGCTGCTTCTGATAAGCAGAAGGCATGTGCTTGCCCAGCCTTCTAAAACATGGGGAGTTGAGGCCAGTAGAATGCAGCTTCGGATTCCAGAAGCCAGAGTCCTGCTACAAAGCTTGTTCTCTGGCAAGTGAATCAGAGGCGTGTTCAAAATCCAACTTGACTCTCCAGAATGACATGGAGCAAGTCACTTAACCTCTCAGAGCCTCCTAGTTTCCTTATCAGTGAAAGTTGGAACAGTCTCTGCAGTGAAATGAGATATATATACAAGTACCTAGTCCAGTGCCCAGCACAGAACATACACTCAGTATATTTTTCTCCAGTGTATCCTCCATCTTTCTGACTCAACAGTCAGATAGTATAGTCAGAGAGATGCTTGCGGAATCGTGTTCATCAGGATTACGGGGTATGGTAGATAAAACCCTGGACTCATTGTCTAGAACAGATTCAAATTCTGGCTCATTTACTAACCAACTGTGTGGTCTTGGGCAAAGGACTTAACCTCTCTGAGCTGAGCTAACCTGTAGCAGACCTGACAGCCAATCTTGCACAAAATGGGCACTCGGGACCTTCTATCTGCCATCTGACTGATTGCTCATCTGGGGGTTGGGACATCTTTGGGGAGGCCTGACTTGCCTCTGTGTCAGATGATGTGGCTTGCTGGGGGTGGGGGTGTGGTGGTAGGGTGGGTCCCTGTATGGCTCCTGATAACCCCAACCCTGCCAAGGAGGTGTATTGGATAAAAATGGGCCCCTGAGCTGGTTGGGAGAGAGCTAAAGGGACCTGGGAGACTGGAGAGAAAAGTCATGATCAGTGTACTAGGGGACCCCCGCTCCCCACTCCCCACCTGGGAGATGACAGTTGGGCTTATAGGCCTGTTTTAGCCTCTTACCTCCCTAAGTGTAACCTTGGATGAGTCCTTGCCGTGAGGTCCCATTCATACAAGGAGACATGGGTGGCTCCTTTTACCCCCCTACTTGGCTACTGGGTATCTTTCCCCAGGCACCTCCAAAAGCTCAGCTCCCAACCACCTTCTTCCTGCCTTGTCCCTGTCTCCATTGCCCTCTGGGTCACACAAGCTCAGAGCATCTGCCCCAAGAGACGGCCTCTTGGCTGTCTTACGAGGCCCCTTCCCTCTCCTCCCCTCCCCACTCCCCCCTGGAGTGTCTGTGCTCCTTTGCTCAGTCAGTTCTGCCCCGCCGGCAAGAATTAGCCTCCTAAAGCCAGGCTCTGAGCAGGCCGCTCCCCCACCCCCTCCTCATCTTCCCGGTCCGCAGTCTGTTCTCCTCTTGTCGCCTCTCTGGTGCACACATCTTCCGTTGCCTCCTCAGTCCTCACAACAGCCCACGGCCATTCCTCCTTCCCCACCTTTGCCCCTTTCTTCCCTTCCTGAGGGAACATTTTCCCCTTTCCCTCTGCCAAGCCGAACCCACTCATCCCAAGAAACCAAGTTGAAGCCCCCATCTTCTTCCAAGCTTCTTCCAATCTCCAGACTCGCCTTGGAGCTCATGGTTCACTTAGGGCAGCGCCCGTCTGAGACACACTCCATCAGCCCTACCTGCCCGAACAATTTATTGCCTCCTTGATGAGAAATCATGTGTGCGGGTGCCCAGCATGGCCTGGCACGCAGTAGGTGCTCGAGAAACATGTGCACGCCCCAGCTTCCTTCTGTCTTACATCACTTATTTGGCACTTAGGGCATATTGTCTTGTACTTCATGTAGTTAAATACTTACCCTGTGGCAGAGTGCTGGGGGCGGGGGGGGGGGGGTGCAGAAATGAGCTCACCGTGGACCATGCCCTGCAGAAACTCTGTCTCCTGGAATGAGCCAAAATAGATCCACAGAGAGTTGTTATGTAAGAGAGATTATGATCCGGGCAAGAGAAGCTTCAGTGGGAGAGGGAAGGTGGGCACCGGGGAGGAGTTGGGGCTGAGGAGGTGGTGCAGAGAGCACGGACATTTTAGGTTAAGGGAGCAGGGTGAGCAGAACCAGAAAGCGGCCAAGTGTGGCTGGTGCTTGGGGAACAGCAGGAGGCGCTCAGGCTGGAAAAGACAGCTTCAGTGGCCCCCCTGCAGGGGTTCTGTCTGTCTGTCAGGCACCTGCTAGTTAATCCTCTTAGTGTGCGTTGTGCCTGACAAGAAGTCTGTGTACCAGGGTGTTAATAGTGCTTTTCTCTAGAGGTAGAATTACAGGTGATTTTTCTTTTGCTTGCTTATCTAAAATTTCTGCCAAGCACCTGCACATTTTTCATGGAATAAACAAAGTTTAAATGTTGGCTAGGTCAGTGCCTCTCATACTAATTTCCAATCCATCACAGATTGATTTTTTTTTAATAAAATACAAAAAAAATAAAATAAAGTTGTATTGAATTGCTGGGGAAATGTCATTTTATTTATTTACTCGACAGAGAGAGCGAGTGCACAAGCAGGGGGAGCGGCAGGCAGAGGGAGAGGGCGAAGCAGGTTTCCCACTGAGCAGGGAGCCCAACGCGGGGCTCGATCCCAGGACCCCGGGATCATGACCTGAATCGAAGGCAGACCCTCAACTGACTGAGCCACCCAGGCGTCCCGAGAAATGTCATTTTTTTTTTTTTTAACATTCTTAGTTTATTGATCCTCTCATGAAAAATCTGCACAACCACCACAGATAAAGCCACTGCAGCATCTTTACTCCTTCTGTTGTCCAATCTCAGCTCACTTTTTGCCAGCACCAACGTTGGGTTTTGCAGTCCCCCTGACTTTCTTCATTCTGTTCTTGCGTTCCTTTCGCTGTTTTCTTGATGTCTTTTTCTTCTCATACAGGCCATGTCTTGCAAGTCTGTGTTTGGGTTCATTTTTCTTTGCATAATCCAAGAAATCATAAATCGTGCCAAAGCCGGTTGTCTTGCCACCACCAAAATGGGTTCTGAATCCAAACACAAATATGACATCTGGTGTGGTCTTGTACATTTTGGCTAGTTTTTCCCGAATTTCTGTCTTAGGTACCATTGCCTTTCCAGGGTGAAGAACATCAATGACCATCTGTTTCCGCTGAAGTAGTCGGTTAGTCATGAACTTCCTGGTCCGGATAGTTCCTGTGTTGTTCATGATGGCGGCGAGCCTTCAAGCAGCCGGGGAGGAAAAGAGCCATATTTTTTTTTTTAAGATTTTATTTATTTATTTGATAGACAGTGAGAGTGGGAACACAAGCAGGGGGAGCAGCAGAGGGAGAGGGAGAAGCAGGCTTCCCGCTGAGCAGGGAGCCCGACATGGGGCTCGATCCCATGACCCTGGGATCATGACCTGAGCCAAAGGCAGACCCTCAACCAACTGAGCCACCCAGGCGCCCTGAGAAATGTCATTTTGGAAAAAGGGAGAGACCATAGAAAATACAAACTGAAATCTTAGATTATTTGGTTCCGATCGCTAGGGAAGTTTCCAGAGGGCCCACTTCCCTTCCTCCACTTAGCCTTGTCACGGACCAGCAGGGACTGGGGAGCCGCACTACGGGGAGCACTGGCCAGAGAGCTGGGGAGGCAGGAATCGGGAAGAGCGTGCGGGTATGGGACCGTCCCCTGGGGACAGGGACCGTGTCCCACGCGCATCCTGTTGTCCCCCCGACAGAGCTGAGCGCGCAGCTGACGCCCCGGGAGTCCATGCTGCCCACCATGCAGCCCCAGTCGGTTCTGCACAGTGGCTACTTCCACCCGCTGCTTCGCACCTGGCAGGCAGCCGCCTCTCCCCTCAGCGCTTCCAACCTCATCTATCCCGTCTTTGTCACGTGAGTCCCCAGGAATGGTCCAGGCCTCGGATCTGCCGGGTGTGTGTGTGTGTGAGTGAGTGAGAGAGAGAGAGAGAGAGAGAGAGAGAGAGAGGAAGAGAGAGTGGGTTCAGGACAACCGTCTTAGGAACCAAACAAACTAGGAAAGAACTCAGTCTTCCCATCCAGAAAATAAGGATAATAACCCTGGCCCGCCATCCTGAGCTTTTGCGCTAAGACAGAAGCAGAGAAGGCATTCGTTGTGTAGCTGGTAAAGAGCTGTGTACGTGTAAGAGGTGGCAGCCATGATTATTCCTAATAGCAATGGCTGACATTTATTGAGTGCTTACTGTGTACCGGGTACTATGCTAAGGAGTGTACATGGATTATCTCCTTCAGTCCTGACAGTTTTCATATGAGGAAAGAATGGGTATTGTTCCCTAGAGGGTCCTCTCCACGAGGGCCAGGATTTAGGTCTGTTTTGTTCACTTTATCTCTCCAGAGAGTAAATAGTACCTGGCACAGAGTAAGCACCCACCATTCGTTGAATGAATGAACGAATCCACCCAAACACAGATGAAGGGCCCTGAGGCTCAAAGAGATGGTGCGACGTGGCCCAGGTCACCCAGCCAGAAAGTGGCTGGGATCGCAGGCAAGGGCCTTCTGCCTTCAGAACCCCAAGGCTGTAGCCACTTGACTCCTTCGTACGATTTAGGGTTCTTCGAGTCCCGTTGCTTCTGTTGTCACTGTCACTCCTGCTGTTCCTATTATTATTTCAGGCTCTGGGCTCGGCCAGGCAGGGAACCAGACACTGGACCCCAACCTCCTCCCCCCATCCCCACTTCCACACTCCCTCCCATCTCCCCACACTCCCTCCCATCTCCCCAGCCATCCCTCCCGGTCACTCCCTCCCCACCGGGGGAGGCAGGAATCGGGAAGAGCGTGCGGGTATGGGACCGTCCCCTGGGGACAGGGACCGTGTCCCACGCGCGTCCTGTTGTCCCCCCGACAGAGCTGAGCGCGCAGCTGACGCCCCGGGAGTCCATGCTGCCCACCATGCAGCCCCAGTCGGTTCTGCACAGTGGCTACTTCCACCCGCTGCTTCGCACCTGGCAGGCAGCCGCCTCTCCCCTCAGCGCTTCCAACCTCATCTATCCCGTCTTTGTCACGTGAGTCCCCAGGAATGGTCCAGGCCTCGGATCTGCCGGGTGTGTGTGTGTGTGAGTGAGTGAGTGAGAGAGAGAGAGAGAGAGAGAGAGAGAGGAAGAGAGAGTGGGTTCAGGACAACCGTCTTAGGAACCAAACAAACTAGGAAAGAACTCAGTCTTCCCATCCAGAAAATAAGGATAATAACCCTGGCCCGCCATCCTGAGCTTTTGCGCTAAGACAGAAGCAGAGAAGGCATTCGTTGTGTAGCTGGTAAAGAGCTGTGTACGTGTAAGAGGTGGCAGCCATGATTATTCCTAATAGCAATGGCTGACATTTATTGAGTGCTTACTGTGTACCGGGTACTATGCTAAGGAGTGTACATGGATTATCTCCTTCAGTCCTGACAGTTTTCATATGAGGAAAGAATGGGTATTGTTCCCTAGAGGGTCCTCTCCACGAGGGCCAGGATTTAGGTCTGTTTTGTTCACTTTATCTCTCCAGAGAGTAAATAGTACCTGGCACAGAGTAAGCACCCACCATTCGTTGAATGAATGAACGAATCCACCCAAACACAGATGAAGGGCCCTGAGGCTCAAAGAGATGGTGCGACGTGGCCCAGGTCACCCAGCCAGAAAGTGGCTGGGATCGCAGGCAAGGGCCTTCTGCCTTCAGAACCCCAAGGCTGTAGCCACTTGACTCCTTCGTACGATTTAGGGTTCTTCGAGTCCCGTTGCTTCTGTTGTCACTGTCACTCCTGCTGTTCCTATTATTATTTCAGGCTCTGGGCTCGGCCAGGCAGGGAACCAGACACTGGACCCCAACCTCCTCCCCCCATCCCCACTTCCACACTCCCTCCCATCTCCCCACACTCCCTCCCATCTCCCCAGCCATCCCTCCCGGTCACTCCCTCCCCACCGGCCCTTCCCACAGCTACCAGTCCATAGACCCCCCCCGCCCCCCCCCCCCCCCGCTCTTGCAGGGACGTTCCCGATGACGTACAGCCCATCAACAGCCTCCCAGGAGTGGCCAGGTAGGAGACGTGGTGGGGAGGGCCAGGGGAGGGTGGCGGGAGAGGTTTCCCAGCTGGAGGTGCCAGGAAGCAGACCCACGAGGTAGAAGATCTGGAGAAGCTCACTTCAGCTCAGTAGAGAAAAGGGTTTTCTCGGGGCCAAAGTTCGAGAACAGAAGAGCCAGCCCCATAAACGAGTGAGCTGCCCATTCATCCACCAGAGACATCATAGCAGAGTCTATTGCAAAGGAGAGCTGAGCTGCAAATGGGAGTTCAGTAAGAACCTTCCACAGCTAAGTTCCATAGCTCTGCTTCTGGGGGCCTTGGTTTTCCCATCTGTTTGGTGGGCGCATTCCCACCCCTCCCTGAACTGTGGGGCTTGAGCCCTCCTGGTGCCATGTGCAGCTTGGCTCTTAACGGAGGGGTGAGGCAGCCCGCCACCTGCCTCGTCTCAGCCCCTCTGTCCCCCCTCCACACAGGTATGGCGTGAACCGGCTGGAAGAGATGCTGAAGCCCCTGGTGGAAGAGGGCCTGCGCTGTGTCCTGATCTTTGGAGTCCCCAGCAGAGTCCCCAAGGTGGAGAATCAGAAGCAGAGTTCGAGGGGAGGACAAGGGAGGGTCGGGTGAGGGTGAGCTGAGCTCCCACATGGACCGTGCCCTCAGTACAGCCTTGTGCTGGCCCTGGGGCGCGGGCAAGGGGACATGGCCCCCTGTTTGATGACAGCACCGGCGTAGGGACAGGAAGCTAAATAGGGCCGTGCCACCCTGACTGGGCAGGTCAAGTGCCCTGTGCAAAATGTGGACAGCCCTTACTGCGTCCTCGTGCAGGGAGCTGGGCTCTGTGAGGTCTGGCTGTCCCGTGGACGTACCTCTTTGCCCTTCCCCTGCCACTAGGATGAGCGGGGTTCTGCAGCCGACTCCGAGGACTCCCCAGCTGTCGAGGCCATCCGCCTGTTGCGCAAGACCTTCCCCACCCTCCTGGTGGCCTGCGACGTCTGCTTGTGCCCCTACACCTCTCATGGTCACTGTGGTGAGCTCCCTCCCTCCACCTGCCCTGCTGCCACCTGCACCCCCACCACCTAGTCCTCCTCTGGGTGGGCCGGGCCAGGGACCGAGATGCTCCCCCAAACCCAGCTGTCTGTCCTGCAGGGCTCCTGAGCAAGAATGGGGCGTTCCAGGCTGAGGAGAGCCGCCGGCGCCTGGCAGAAGTGGCACTGGCCTATGCCAAGGCAGGTGAGTGAGCCACCGGCAGCTCCGGGTCAGGGAGGTGGCAGAGTAGATAGAAGGGTCTCAGAGTTCTGAAGGCCACCCTCTGCCCCTCAGGATGTCAGGTGGTAGCCCCATCGGACATGATGGACGGACGCGTGGAAGCCATCAAGGAGGCTCTCATGGCCCATGGACTTGGCAACAGGGTAGGGGCGGGGAGTGTGGCGAGGGGTGTGGGGAAGGTATGGAGAAAGCCTGGACCAGCCCTGTCCCCGTATCTGCTAAGAATCACGGAAGTGAAAACAGCCCTGGACAAGGCCTTTGAGATCCGTCTCGACCTCCTCACCTCACACGGGGAAGTCAAGGCCCAGAGCTTTAATGGGACTAGACCGCAGGCATTCTACTTCCCAGCCTACATCCTTCCTCTCCCTGTCACCTCACCCTGGGACATCTGAAAAGGGCTGCCTGGACCTTGACCCCTGTTTGTCTCCCGTAGGTATCAGTGATGAGCTATAGTGCCAAATTTGCATCCTGTTTCTACGGACCTTTCCGGTGAGTGGGGATTGGTAGGGGTCTGCTTTCAAGCTTTCCCTGACCTATTCGCCCAAAGCTGGACACCCCCCACCCCGCGCTGATGCTTCTGCTTCCCAGGGATGCGGCTCAGTCCAGCCCGGCCTTTGGAGACCGCCGCTGCTACCAGCTGCCGCCGGGAGCCCGAGGCCTGGCCCTGCGAGCAGTGGTGAGTGACCGGAGCTGGAGCCCACTGGCCGGTCCCCCTCCCATCTTGCCTCCTGGGCACTCCCCACAGAGTATTTCGTCCCTTAGGCCCGGGACGTACGGGAAGGAGCCGACGTGCTCATGGTGAAGCCGGGCATGCCCTACCTAGACATCGTGCGGGAGGTGAAGGACAAGGTGAGCAGGCAGAGCAGAGACAAGCAGGGGCCCAGGGGGATGAGCGGGTTTGTCCGCAGACTCTGGGATCTCAGACTCAGAGACTGCAGAACCCTCTGAGTTCAGAGCGACCTGGCCCTGAGCAGGAATCCTGCCACCGTGCCCCTGCCCAGGAACCACCATGGGCATCTGCCCCAGGGCTGGCCGGAGCCTTCGAGCTGCTGTGCTTTCACAGTTCAAGAATGGGGCGGCCTGGGGCGCCCGGGCCGCATGGGGGGCTCAGTTGGTTGAACGTCTGACTCTTGGTTTTGGCTCGGGTCGTGGGGTTGAGCATTGGGCTCTGTGCTCAGTGGGGAGTCTGCTTGGGGTTCTCTCTCTCCCTGTCCCTCTGCCCCTCCCCGCTCTAAAATAAATAAATCTTTAAGAAAAAAAAAAAAAAGAACGGGCCCGGCTGCCAGCAGTAGGGACACGGCATGGGGCTCAGGATGCTCTCAGGTTGGGCAGGCAGGCAGGGACGCTCCCAGCGGTTCCACACTTCCACCTGTCCACCCGCCACTGCTTTTCCACAGCACCCTGAGCTCCCACTTGCTGTGTACCACGTTTCTGGAGAGTTCGCCATGCTGTGGCACGGAGCCCGGGCCGGGGCGTTTGATCTCAAGGCTGCCGTCCTGGAGGCCATGACTGCCTTCCGCCGCGCAGGTAAAGCGGGGCACTGGGGTTTCCGGACCTGTGCCACGGGACTGATGGGCACTTTGCCCAGAGGACAAAATAAAGTCATGAGACAGCCTAGAGTCTTAGGCCTGGGAATACCAGTGATCTAGAGAGACACAGGGTGAGGAGGGGCCGTGGAGCTGCAGAACCCAACGTGCGACAGCGAAAAAAGCAGAGCCGTCTGTTACTTTTTGGTGTTGAGACCTTAGCCAAGCTACCTCTGTGCACCTCAGCGACCTTGTCCGCAGACCGGGGATAAAATACCCGAGGCGCGTCATCTGGAGAATTGTGGGAGGGGATGCGTGTCATTGGCATGTGCTCACCACTCCACAAATGGGAGCTGGTGGTGTTGGTGTGCACACAGCATGGGAAGGGCCCTTACGACGTACGCATCTCTCCCACTGTGCGTTTCATACATCGGCAAACTGAGGCCCAGCAAGAGAAAATGACTCGCCCAGGGTCACATAGCGCGCAGAGCTGTAACTGACCGGAGCTGGGCTCTGTCTTATGTTCTGACGCCTGCGGGCTGTGCCTCTTCATGGCAGCCGCGTGCCCCTCCTTGGCCCCGGTCTCCCCGAAGGTTAGCCCACAGCTGATGCCCGGCCCCTCCCCGCTTCCTGCTTCTGTCCCCCCCACAGGTGCCGACATCATCATCACCTACTACACGCCTCAGCTGTTGCAGTGGCTGAAGGAGGAGTGATGGCGAACATGTACAAGACCAATAGCTAGAACTTTTAAAAGGTCCTGGGGCCTTGGAGAAGTGAAAACCAAAGTAAATGCTGCTTTAGAACTGTGCCCTTATGCCCTCTTCCTGCTCACGTGCTGGCAGGCGCCCAGCAGCCCTGGGTGCTTTCTGCCAGCCTGCCCTCCTCCCACCACTCAAGCCTCCCAGGCTCCCCCGGGCTTCCCCATGCCCCCCCGGCTCAGCTCCTTCTGGTGTGGCCTCAGCTTGAAAGCCACCAGGAGGTAAGGGTGCAGGCTTGTTGGGGCCTTGGAGGGGGGCTTGGAGCATTAGGAGTAGAGGAGGGCGAGTTGCACCTTGTATCACGAGAAGCTCTGGAAAGCCTGAGGCCTTTGGCAGCAGAGCTGGGCGCCGGGACAGAGGCCTAGGATGACATCTTCAGGTTTAGCGTTGAGATTTGCCTCGATTCCACTGGAAGGTGATTCCCACACAGGCCCATGTTGCCAGGCTGCCTGAGATCTCCTGTTCTGCTCTCAGCCATATACCCAGAGAAGAGTGTTACTTGTTAATGAGTAGAAACACTGCCTGAGGATCGAAATTCAGAAGCAAATAGAGAGTTCCTGACTGCTGGAGATGCCACCACCAATAAGGCTTTTCTGTTGAAGAGAGAATTTTTGAGAACATCTGCTCAGTGTCCACAGATGATGCTGGGTACTGGGGAGATAGCAGGACAGATCCCAGCTTGTCTCTTTGGAATCTATGTAAGGAGAGTGGGGAGACAGACGACAATAAGAAAACAAAGCAATTACAAATCAATTAGTGCTTTGAAGGAAAGAAAGGGTCTGAGACAGCATAATTGACAAAGGGCATCTCTTGAGAGGGTGGTCCAGAAGCCCTCCCTGAGGTTGAGGGACAAGAAAGGCTCTTTCCAGAGAGCAGAGGGAAGAGCATCAGAAGCCACGAGAATGACACAAAGTGTGCAAAGGTCCTGCGGTGGGAGGAGCCTCCCAGCTGGGAGCAGGGTGAGGAAGCGGAGGAGGGGGACGGGACTGGAGGTTGGAAAGGTAGGCTGTACACCTTGTAGGAAGCTCGGTCTTCCTTTGCATTGGGTAGAAGGCTATCTGAAGGATCTTAACTAGAAGTTACGTGTGTTCCCCTTCCCCCAGTCTGCTGCTGCGTGAAAAGGAAAGGGTGAGCAAAAAAGAGGCTGGTTGGGAGGCGCTTGGAGACCCCGCGGAGGACCGACATTGGCCTGGACCTGGGTGGTGGCAGTGGAGAGAGGAGGAAGTAGGTATATGTTCAGGATACATTCCCGGAGGCAGAATGAGCAGGTTTTGCCTAAACTGTAAGTCCAGGGAACGGGAGGAAACAAGGATGCCCTCATGGGTTTCTAGCTTGAGCCTCTGGATAAGTGCCTTCTTCCAAGACTCACGTCGTGTCTCCCCTAGTAGAAGGTAAGGCCCAGCTAAGGGCCTTTGCACGTCCACCTGCCCATCTGCAAAGTGACAAATCCCAAATCTAGGGCCAAAGCAAGCTCAACTCGGACCTTAAAGCAGTACAATCCATTTTGAAATGTAGAACCATAGGGGCGCCCGGGTGGCTCAGTCGGTTAAGCGTCTGCCTTCGGCTCAGGTCCTGATCCCGGGGTCCTGGGATCGGGCCCCGCATCGGGCTCCCCGCTCGGCGGGGAAGCCTGCTTCTCCCTCTCCCGCTCCCCCTGCTTGTGTGCCCGCTCTCGCTGTGTCTCTCTCTGTCAAATAAATAATAAAATCTTTTTAAAAAAATACGTGGAATCATAAGCTCCCAGCAGCTCCTGTAGTCAGGCCGGTCCCCTTCGACTCCCAGTCTTCCGCAGAGCTGCAGCTGACCTGAGGACCTGATCTCACTCTGCCCTTAGCATTTGGGGTGGTAGCCAGCCAAAATCAGGGCTTGAAGAGGCATAAAGCTTCACCTTCCAAGGAGTCTGAGCCTGGAACTCCCCCCCCGCCCCGCCCCCCACTAGGGGCCTGAAGCACTAAATTAAAGATGAGCCACTGATGGGCCTCAGGGCTCTGACCAGACCGGAACCTTGGCCATACTGGCTTCTTGTCTCCTGGCCCCTTGGCCCCGGTCCCTGAGCTCATTGCTGGTTAGTGTGGAAGGGAAGGTTCTTCAGGGGCACCCCAGGCTCATCACTGCCGAGCTAATAGGAGGCCCGGCTCTTGGAGGCATAGAGAGGAGACAGAAATTGCTCTTTAGGTACAAACCCCACGGGAGGCAAAAAGTACATGTGTCCAGAACCCCCAGAAGTAAAACGTTAAGTGGACTGAGGAGATGTAGGAGGCAGATGTGTCTCCAGGGACGTTGTGACAGGTGCTGTGAGGGAGGCCACCAGGACCTGACTGGGTTTGAAGGATCAGAAAACGCTTCCCTGAGAGGCTGACGTTTAAGCCTAGACCTGAGGAATGAGCAGCCAAGCTAAGAGCATTCCCGGCAGAGGGAACTCTGCGTCTAGAATGAGCTAGGAGAACACAAAGCAGGTGTGGCTGGAGCAGAGTGGATGACGAAGGAAGAGGTGGCCTGAGAAACCGTGCAGGGCTCAAAAGCCATGTTTATGGAACGTGGGGAGTCTTTCCAGACTTTGTTCCAAGAGAAAGGAAAGCCATTTGAAGGATTTTAAGCAGCGGAACAACTAGCTCTGATTTTGCATCTTATGAAAACATTTGACAGCACTGGCAAAGTGCAGATGGGAAAATGTGTAACCTGGACTGGAGTGGTGACAGTGGGGTTGAAGGAGGTAGATTAGATGGGAAGGATGAACGTGGCTTGAGCTCTTGGTGGCTGGTGGGACATTTACTAGAATGGGAAAGCTTAGAAGGGAGGGTCGAGCGGGAGTCCTAAATTTAGCTTGGGTTTGCAATGAGGGAGTATCTAGAGAGCTTATGACTCACCTAAGGCCATTCAACTAGTTTGTGGCAGAACTGGGTCTAGAACCCTGTCCCTGAGCCATCAGAGCCAGGATTTGAACCCACATAGTTCAACTCCAAGGCCTCTACCCTGGACCACTGTGCCACACCATCTCCCAATAAACAGTAGCCAAATTCGGGATCTAACATGATGCTATTACAACGGAGCAGGCCAAGGGCTGCATTGCCTCAGGCATCATGGCCTACGTGAAGGTGGCGCCCTCTGGAGTCGATTTGTTGCCAGAGGTGCCTGCTCAGTATCTGCTCCGGCCCAGCTATGTTTTGTGTACAGAGAATGGCCAGGCAGGCAAGCTGGGAGGCTTTGGGCGATGCCGGGGGCTCTAGCTCCACGGTCCGTCTCCTGCTGCACGCTCTCCTCTCACTAGTGGTAATTTCATCCTTGTGCAGAGGGAACGCAGCTTCCACAATTGGCAAGGCATAGTCTCAGACTTCCAAGCATTACAGACAACTGGTGGGCATTCAGGGCCTCTCAATGAGACTTGACTTTATTTCCCTCTGATGTGCCTGCTTAGACGGTAGCTTGTCTGTTTCTTGTAGGACCTTCCTGAAGCCACAACAAATAGCCGTTGAGTTCCACTGATTTTTCACTACAATCCCTAAAACTACAACCTCAGTGGACATACGGTTGAGGGTCCCAACAAACAGGCATTTTAACCAGCCATTTTACTACCAATTTCCCAACTAGGAGAGGAGGAATCCTGACCTGCCCCATACCCCACAGGGACTCTGCCAGTTCCACAAATAAGCGCCCGTGACTTGCAGCACCCCATATTCTATTGTTCCACATATTTTGCAAGTTACAGAACTCCAATTCAATAGCAAAAAAGGAAATGATTTGCTTTCATAACTGGACTTCAACAAGGTCAGGTGTGGTGGGGTCTAGGGTTAAAGGCTGTCGTGGAGGCTGTGTCCCTTCCTAGTTCTTATATATTTGGCTCAGCTTGGCTATGATTATTCTAAGATGGGCTTTTGCCACTTGACAGCCACACAATCCTTAAAAGATCCTTATGACTTAGAATCCCAAAGAAAGATCTTTTCCCATCATTCACAACGAATCTCTGGAGGTCTCTGACTGGCCCTGCCCAGGTCACATGACCAGTCTCTTCAGTCACTGTAATCCACGGCATGGGAGATGCGGCACTATGATTGACCAGGTCTGCCTCATTTCCTCATTATAGAAGTCTGGTGGAGTTTCAGAGCTTTGCAGCAGTGATCCCCTTTGCCTGGAATGCTTCTCCCCCAAATCTGTGTGTCAGTCTCCTTTTTATTGCTAAGATCTTGGCTTCCTCATTGCTTACTCAAAAAACCTACATTGACACCCAGTTTAAAGTCATTCCCCAGTTACTGTGTTAGTCAGGATTCAAGCTCAGTGGTCATAACAAGCCAAAGTAATGATAGTTAAGATGGAAATGTTTCTCTCCAGTCCAGACCATGTCAGCTACATGGTGTGCTAGGTCCTGGCTCCTGCCTTTTTCTGTCCTCAACACATCTCGGCTTCCATCTCGTGGTCAAAGATGGCGAGTTCAGTTCCCACCATTAGCTCCTCTCTTCAGTCAGCAGAAAGAGGAGAATGGCAAGTGGAGGGCATGACACTTCTTTATAAGGGTCTTTATAAGGGAGCAACCCGAAAGTTGCACATATCACTTCTGTCCATATGCTCTTGTCTGAACTTAGTCACATGGCCACACCTAGTTGTGTAAGGGACGTTGGGAGATAGAGGCTAGTGGGGCAGCCATGCGCTCAGCTAAACCTCAGCGGTTCAGTTACTAAGGGAAAAGGGTAGGATGGAGATGGGGCCAAACGGGAACCCCCACCACATGAAGTTTTGTAATCGCAGAAACAATGGTCAGAACATCAAAGAGGTCTTTAGAGACCATTTAGTTCAACACTCATTGTACAGAGGGAAGACAGACCCAAAAAGGGAACTTGTTCAAATTCACACAAGCCAATGACAGACCAAGGCTGGGATTCAGGTCTCCAAACTCCACGCCAGTGCTCAAACCTGGGGAAGGGATTGGTTTTAGGAGGACTTCAGCTTTTTATGTGTTATCTTCGCTTCAGATGCATTTTTATAGTCATGTATTATGTCTAACGAGGATACATTCATATTATTTGTGTAAATAAAAATAAATGAAAACATGACCGATGCATATATGAAAAGGCATTCTCTCCATTAGTCAACAGAGAAATTAAAATTAAAACCACAATGAAGGGGCGCCTGGGTGGCACAGTCGGTTGAGCGTCCGACTTGGTTTCGGCTCTGGTTATGATCTCAGGGTCATGAGATTGAGCCTTGGG